TTATTTAGGTCATGTATGATTTCCTTCCTTAGTATCTTACAATTTTCAACATATTTTTTTTTACACGTTTTGTTTAGATGTATACACATTTTCTTTGGCATAACTGTGAACAGTATTATATTTTTAATCCTGGTCTCCACACATCTGTTGCTAGTATAGAGAAATACAATGAATTTTATGTGTTGATCTTATATCCTGAGATCTGGCTAAACTCATTTATTGATTCTAGGAATTTTTGTGTCAATACCTTGAGATTTTCGATTATGTTCCCTGCAGGTTGCAACAGTTTTACTCAATCTCTTCCAATCTGTATGCCTTTCTGTACTATGTGGAATAAGAATATACATCCTTGCCTTACTGCCAGACTTCAAGGAAAAGCATTCAGTCTTTCACCATTAAGGACATTAATTGCAGGGTTTTGGGGTTTTGTAGATACTCTTTTCATCAAATGAGAAAGTTTCCATCTCTTCCTTATTTATTGAGAGCTAACAAAGAGTAATAGTTTAGTGTAGGACAAAATACAGATATATAAATAATTCCTTTTTTTATACCCATATGGGTGTACCTCTCATAACTCTGGAGAATCTCCACCAAATGTTAAACTGCAAACTGCAGCAAATGTATCCAGACTTTTTTGTCTATGTTCCCAAAAGCTCCACATTAGCACAAAATCCAAACCTTTGCACTATCAACAATTATATTTTAATTTAGTTTGCAGTATCTACTGCATATTAACTAAACAAGTAATAAATTAATGCAGAGACTAAATACTTCAACTTTTAAGCAGCCTGTCAATAAATTGCAAAGCATCTAACATAGGGGCTATATGTAACATTAGCCTATGAATCTCAAGAAGACTGCAGATGTCTCAGTATCAAATGTCATTCATTTTAACTTGAAAATAAAATTTCAGTGAAGTCTAAAAAAAGTCTTAAATAATATCAAAGTTTACAACAACTAAAAACTTAAATCTGTGATCTAAGAAAGTTTTCTCATTATATGGTTTCTATACCAAAGGGATCTTTAAAGAGAAGGCTCTTTTCCCAACTGCTGCATTGAAAAAAATCTCTCACCCCCAAATTCACTCAGAGCTGCACTACAAGGAGCCCATCCCACTGCGAAAGCAGCAGGCACCCACCAGCTGCAGCACAGCCTCATTTCTCCAGAGCAAAGGCACTAAGTGTGCCTGACCCCTGCAGACACAGGATCCATCTAGAGTGCAAACTGGAAAGAACTGCAGCAATAAGTGGGATTAATTAACTCCTCTCACTTCATAACCCCCCCAACATGAACAAGCAGATAAGCACGAGGTAGAAGTGACTGTGGGCATTATAACGGCATACTGACAATCTGTCTAGTACTAAGACTAGCTATCCCACCTAGCCACACCTGCTCCTCTCCCATCCACTGGAAGGTAGACTATAATACTTAGATACAAAATTCAAACAGGCTATTATGGAATCTCAAAAATAGAAATAAATACACAACTAACAATCCAGCTAAAAAAAGCACCTCTCTCTCTCTGAGGAACCAAAAGCATCAAAGAGAAGAACTAGTAACTGATAAAAACCACTTAACAGAATACTTCCTAAGTATTAAACTATGCTTCACAGAATGAATGAAATTTAGTACTACAATGAAAATAAGTTTCGCATAAGACCTTAAACCGGCAAATTAGAAGCAAAAAGATGACAGGAAAACAAAATTGGCAGAGGGATCATTTTGAGGATGTATTTTCATAACTAGCCAAATTATCATTCAAAATATCATGTTTAGATGCCAAGGACTAGGGGAATTTTTCACAAATTCTCTCTGAAGGACTACAAACAAAACAAAAATAATTCAAGTGAAGGATAGAAAAGTGAAGAATCAATGGTAAACTAAGAAATTTTTAAGTTCAAGTAAATTATTTATTACAAATAAAACAATAGCAATTCTATTTCTAAAAGAGATGTAAAAGCAAACCATTGTCCTTGTTTGCTGAGTAGAGGGAACAATAGAGATATTAACTGGATAATAAAAGTAGACACCAATACAAAGAGAAACAGACTGTAATTCTTACAAATCAGTAGAGGCAGAATAGCAAAGAAAATATGAAAACCCAACAAAATATGGGAAAGGTGATGAACAAATAATAAGACACATGGAAAACACAAAAGATCACACAAATAAATCCAAAATTAGCACAAACAGAATTCTAGTAGTAGTATGAATGGATTAGATTTACCTATTAAAAGACTGACATATTAGATACATCATGTTTTGAAAAGATAAACCTAAAGCAAAATTAACAAAATATAATTCAAGGCAATAAGCCTTATATAATACAGTTTCAGGCCCTCCCTGGTGGCGCAGCGGGTTGAAACACAGCACTGAGAAGCTGGAGCCACTTCCGCATGAGTTCGATCCCACCTACCCCGGAGGTGACCACATGGCGTGGCAGACCTCTCCTGGCCCGCCCGCTGCTCCCCTCAGCAGTGTACTTCCTCAATCTGCCTGTTCTGCTCCCCACTCTGTCTCTGGTAAAACCTCTCGCTGCCCCTGAGCCTCTGGCCTGTACCCCAGTTCTGTATGAATGGATAAATCTTTAAAAAAAAAAAAAAATACAGTTTCATATTAGTAAAAGGTATCATCCATTATATAAAATAAATGATAAACTTTTATATACCTAACATGGCTTGAAAATAACACAAATAAAACAAAAAATTCACCATAATTCTCTCAAATAGGTCAGAATAAAAACATAATGACACAAAAGAACAAATTACATAGTTAAATCAATTATGTATTATTATAATTAGCCCAAATATTAATAACTCTGTATGCATCAAACATACAAATATTTTAATCATACAGGGAATAGTCACCAAGAATTTACTACACATTTAGCCACACGAAAATCTAAAAATATTCCCCAAAACAGAAATCAATCAGGTATATTTATTGACTAGAATGCACAAAATTAGAAGTCAAAAACCAAATAGTTGAAAAATAAACTTATCTACATTGAATTTTAAAAAAAGCTTTCAATTTTCAATTCTACATAAGAAAGGAAACAAAAAGAAAACACCAAGATCCTAGAAAAATTATTACAAATAAAAAGTAATGATACATAAAAAGTACAAGTGATTAGTAAAATCAAAATCTGCTTCTTAGAAGAGAAGTAAAAAAGACAAATACTGAGCTACATCTCAAAATTGAGGGCCAGAGTACTCTAAAACTTAGAAAACTGAGTCTAAGTCATTTTATTTAGCAGTGTCTGGTAATTTGATGAAAATGACAAATTTTAACCTTTCTCCTCACTCTCTGTGAAGTCACTAATTTTGGCTCAATAGTACATTAATAAAAATATAACTATCCATTTGTTTTTCAAAGCAGTTATATATTTATTTCAATCACACAATTATACAAAATGAATTGAAATAAATACAATTAAAGAAAAATTACCCATGAACTCCACCCAATCCTACTTTACCAGCACAATGTAACCTTTTATCTGACTGCTATGGATCTTTCTGGACATTTTTTTTTTCCTTTTCAAATGCAGTATTTAGGATATAAGGGGGAGAAACAGCATTATAATGAACACCTATGTACCTACCACCTACCTAGGGATTACATCAGCAGTACAGCTGAAGCAGTCTGGTATGCCTGCCACTCAGCATTAACTACCTTGACCTCAGGCTTTCTTCATACTTTACCCATAAACATTGTAATACTGCTTCATGGTTTTAAACCTTTATATAAATGTTAAAATACTTTACCTACTCTTCATTAGTTTGCTTTTTCTTAAACATTACACTTATGAATCCCAGCCATGATGATATAGTACATTAATTTTCACCCACAGAGAATTCTATCATAGGACTATTAAACAATTTATTAACTTTCTGATGTATATTCAATAATGCTCTTAAAAAGCTACTTTGAAAATTTCTTGTATACATGAGTGAGTCATCTCCAAGGTCTTTACATAGGTATAGAACTTCTGGATCTCAGGATGTATTTAAAACTACCACATATTTGCAAATTGTCTTCTACACAGTACTAGAGCTCCTGATGTCCTATAGTCTTATCTACACTTAGATTTGTCTGATTTTAACTTATTCCCAATATGAAAAGCATGAAACTGTATCTTATTATGGTTTAATTTGCCTCTTCCTGATTATCAACGAGTTTGAACTTTTTTCCTAGACATTTCTGTTTCTTCTTCTGTAGTTCTTGGCTTCATGCTCTAATTAGAGCTGCCCCACTAATCAAAGATCCCTAGTCCAAATATGCTAATGAAAGACTTCGGTGAAGTCTGGTTATCTGTAGTGGCAGAAACCATTCATTAAGCCTTTATTTTCCAAAACACATAATCTAGAATGAGAAGCAGTGGCTTGCTGTAAGAGTATTCAGTATAAGATCAGTACTCTTCACCATGTCTTTAATCTCCTGCAATCTTTATTTCACATGATCAGAATGCAAATGATGAAGACAGACACCTAACGAAGATTGGAATAATGCGCATGGGATTATAGGATTTCATTCTACTTTATGGATCACAAAATAAAGCAGAGGTTAAGTACACTGCTCACAATGAATAAAGAACAATGGTGCCCAAATTCTTCACACTACACTGTAATAGTCATAGTACCTTCCCAACATGGTTTTCAATGAGGATATTCTCAGGAAGGAGATGACTAGGGCCACTTCTCCAAGAATCTAAGACAGCATCTTTTAAAAAATTACAATGAGCAGCTGAGAGGTTACCTTAATGAAACCCATTTTCCTTTGTGGTTTAGACTTTGGATATTTACTATCTAAAGGACAAAATAAACTAATCTGATGGCTTTAGGCCTTCATTTATGGCCTTCATGAATCTCAATGTGTTAGTTAAAACACATTTAACACAAATTCTCTTTGAAATTATTTTGAGAGAAACAATAAGCAACGTGAGCAACTACATTTAGTAGGTAGAATTCAAGTGGGCAAATACATACTGGAAGGTAACATACCTACTGCAGGTGCATCATACTCATCACCAAGCAGAATTTCTGGAGCAGAATATGCAAGAGATCCACAGCTTGTTGTGAGTTTCTTCCCTGGTTGAAATTTGTTGCTGAAACCAAAGTCTGTCAACTTTACAAGACCTTGTTTTTCAAAGAAGACCACATTCTCTGGTTTTAAGTCTCTATGAACCACATGGAGTTTATGGCAGTAAGATATAGCATGAACTATCTGAGCAAAGTACTTCTTGGCCAATTCTTCATTAAGCCCCTCCTCGTGTTTCATTATGTAATCAAACATATCTCCTCCATCCCCAAGTTCTAGAATAAGATATAGTTTGGTCTGGGTGTCAATAACTTCATAAAGGCGAACAATGTTGGGATGCTGCACTAGTTTCATGCATCTCACTTCTTGGAAGAGATGACCAGTGGCTAGGGTGTCCAATTTTGTCTTGTCAATAACTTTTACTGCTACTTTTTCACCTGTAAAGACATGTCTGGCAAGTTTAACCACTGCAAAATGACCTCGCCCCAAGGTTTTATCCAGATCATATAACCCAGCGATCTTTCCATCATATCCTCGCTTGAATCCTGCCATGCTGGTCCAACAGAAGAAAAAATATGTAGGTTGTTGAAATAGATCTTCTCATATAAGAATATCTGGCAAAGATAAGGAATTCATCTTCAATGTTGCCATGGACATCTACAAAACAAGAGGAGAAAATTAAGTTTCTGTGACTTTTTATTCCAGAGTTTGTTTTTTTTTTAACAAAATTTTAAGAAAACTTTGAGATAAATAGAGACCTATTTAAATACTATAAAGGTTGTGAATTTAAATACTGTCTTAAATTTTACAGAGGGAAAACAAGTTTGTTGAATAATTTTATAACAGAAATAAGCAAATTGGCAAGTTTAATGAGCTAGGTTAAAAAACATTTCTCAAAAGTCATTCAATTAATATCTTTTAAAAAAACCAAGGCAAGAACTGAGAAGACATAGAGAATAATCATTTAGACAAAAGTCCAAAATCTTGTCCCTGTCATTACAAGATTAATACTATTTCCTGTAAGTACAGTAAAATCCAGCGAAACCTTATTTCAGTGAAACCTCCTCTAACTCACTCAGCTGAAATTACCTTGCCTTTTCTGTCTCTCTCCAAAGAACCCTGGAAACGTCCATCCCATGTGGCTTTATTAAGTTTTTGTATATACTACCTCCATCCCAAGATTGTAAAGAGTGCATCAAAATTTTGTTAAATTTTGAAATGCAGCTTTTGCTCAAAATGTTTACAAGGCAATGGTTTGTTCTTGCATCACTAGTGCCTCAAATGGTATCTGGCGCACAAAAGATGCTTAATAAATACTTGCTGACTGACTGGTACTTACTCTTTGTATTTATTGGTTATGTTATCTTTACTAGTTTTCCAATTCTCACAAAGCAAGCCCATCATGATCTGCGTATATTTCAAGAATAAACAAGTATGCATTCTTAAGTTATCTGAATTTTGAAAAACTTATTTCAGACGGTATTTGAAATTCTCAGCCTTGACAATGTAAACCTTAAAAGGAAGAAATAGGTTCTTATTAATTATCCTAACACAGAAAAATAAGTGTCAAAAATTATACAAATTAGAATATCACTTTAAATCTCACAAACTGATGCCCATTGTCATTGTTTTTACCAAAATTTGACTAAAATAAACTCCAATAAAGAACATAGCAATCTCCTAAGACTAGTTCTTTCCTACTGATACATATCCAGCCCTTCTGTGAAACGTTTCCTAATGCTTCCAATACATAGTTTCACATTTTCAATTCTTTTTATTAAGTATTGCTGTTAACTTAAATGAAAATATCTCAAATAACTAAATAGTATATATATAATGTAATTATTTTTAAAGCACTAACACTAAATTCCTTTAAATCTCATCTGTCCTTAAAAAGAATAAATGAAAAGCTAATATTTACTAAAGATCTACTATATGTATTTGTGCAAAATGAATCAAACTGGATTGTGTCAGTGATACTGACATTCCCGTAAGGTTACAATTAGTCCCATTTTTATAGACAAAGGCATAAATGGATATTAAGTGCTAAAGCCAAGATTCAAAGCTAATTCTTATTTCAAAGATTACATTCCTTATAAACATTTCAGCACTCTACTTGATAATGCATTTGGGATAGTATGAGTTAAAAAGCCAATTCAAGAAAAGGCATAAAGTCATTATGAAATGATATGAATCACATATCTGAGGATACCTCAAACATATATATTTGTCTCTGTTAACGTATGTTAAAAAAAAAGTATGTTTTTATTATATTCTAGTAATTATACTTAGTAATTTAATATAATAACATCAGCCTTACATCATCTTCATTTAATCCTTATGATCGTCCACAAAAATGGATTATTAGTCCTATTTCAGGCATAGAAATTTTAAGTGCTACAGGGTCAGTATCTAAAATACTGGAATTCAAGCTCAAGCTAACACTGAAGTTTATGCTTCTAATCACTATGTTACACTGTTTCTGTAAGTTAATTTTAGAACCAAAACTAAATTATTAGTCCTGTATCTATTAAGATTTAAAAAATGAACAGGTGTTAGAGGAAATGTACAGGTGCTAGAGGAAAAGTCTGTTTCTTCTATGCCATGTATTATTCTTGCCCTCTGGGCTAATAATTTTAATGGTAAGATTAACAGGAAAATTCACGTTGAAAGATTTTTGCTTTACTTCAACAGCAATTCTCTAAAAGAAAGTTTTTAAAAACAGGGACTGTAGTCTAGTTCTGGGGGCAGGAGATTATCCTTAAATCTTTCATTTTGATTGATTATTGAGGTAGTAGTTATTTTAAAAATTCTTTCCAAGTCTATGTTTCTATTATACAAGCATGCAAATACAACTCTACCTTACAAAACACACTTCTTCAGGTTGCCCTCAAGTTTTCTTCATCTATCATTAGACATACTCCTAGAAAGTAGCATATAAACCAGAATTTATAAATAAGCTTGTTTCAATTTTCATTTAGTTTTTTAAATTTTGCTTTACTATAAATTAGATGAATAAAGAGTGAAGGAAAACAGTCTTTTTCAGTCTCCCAGACAAGCAGGGATAATCACTATTAAGTGCTGACCTTTCTCTTCCCAGAGCCATGACAGTAGAAGGGCACCGTGGAATAAGTTTTAATTTACTAGCAAATTCATAGGAAAGACCCTACTCAGGTTTCTTCATAGTGACAGACTACCATGTAGTGAAATAACTAATCATTCTCATGATCAACAAAGAATTTACTTTCTTTTGTTACTTTTTTGTACACATAATCACTTTTTAGAGTCTATGAAGCTACAATTATACATCTAAAACAGCACATTGTGACTAACTGAAGATTGGGATGGGGGAAATGTCCTTGTTATTGAGCACCATTTTAAATACTAATAACTGTCTAATCCTATGATCATCAAGTACATTTGGAGTAACATAGGAAATAATTGTTTTTTCATCTGGAGAATCATACAGAGCCCCAGCATCATTCCGAATATTGATATCAAGTGTTAAGATATTGCTTATATACAGTAAAGATGACTTTGTACTGGCTCCATGACATACCCTGCAAACTGCATGCTGAATAGTCCTTGTTATCACTGTTTTGCTAGTTGTTTTTCTCCTAAAAGAAAACAGAAAAAGATTTCAGTTTAGTTCAAGGGATAGTTTTAATTTTGCTTAAAACATATACCCCTAAGGCTGGATCCAAATAAACATAAAAATGCAAATCTCTCTTTAGTGACCTACTAGCCCACTCTCTTCTCCCCTCCCACTACCTTTTTCCCCCCTCTAAGAATCACAACCCATTCAAGGAGTCTTTAGTCAACAGGAATTTCACAGAGAACAGGTACATAGAGATTGTTCCAGATAGACAGGCCTAAAAGATTATTCCACTAGAGGAAGTTAATGTGAGTAGTGAACAATAGTAAATGTGCCATTTTCTAAATGCCTCCTGGGTAGTAGGCACCGAATCCACATTTTACTAAATTCTCATTAAGAGCCTGCAAGGTAGCCACAATGAGGCTCAACTAACCTAGTAAGGAGCAGGCCAGTCCTGCTCAGCCTGGCTCCAAAACCCAACTTGCCTTCATGAACAAACACTCATCCAACAGCCAAGGAGGGCAACCTTTTCAACTTACAGAACACAGTTATAATGGCAACCTCACAAAATACTTTCACATTGGAAGCTTTCCATTGTGAACAAAGAAACCACCACTATAAACAAATAGAATGGGAGCAGATCACTGACATCTAAGTTTGTGGCACAGCAGGATGGTACTGATGTTGCCCTGCAAGCCTTTTCACAATAATTAAATATCACATAATAACTGAAAGGTCTAAATATTCACAGTAGGGCAAGGTATTTACATACTCTTCCACTGAAGGTAGATTGTCCAGGTAATCCCTAAGCTCAAGCTGACATGAGCTTCAGAAAATATTAAGACTTCAGAAACAGGAGAAAAGAGACAGGGAAGGCAGAAGGCATAAGAGGAAAAGTGAAGCATTACCCCTTGACTACTTCTCTCTTTCCCAAAGCCCCGAGTTTGTCTATAGTCTTTACGGCAGGGCAGTGGGGTTGACTACTGCTAATTCTGAAAGACAATGAGTAGATCTGAATCCCAGCTCACCAGGCACTAGCTGAAGGACCTGAATAAAAGCTGTCTCTGTATGATCAGTTTCCTCATTAGAAAATGTCGGCAGTTAAGAGTACAACCTCGGATTTTGGAAAGGATGAAATGAGTTAGTATAGGACAAATGATTAGGATAAAGCCTGGCACAGAGCAAGCATTCAGTAAATACTAGCTATACCCACCACCATCACTGTTAATGGTGTTATCTCCCCTACCTAAGTAGAAATCTTTTTAGTCTTCTATGTTATTTCAAGAGAATGAATGTACCTAGCTGGTCAGTTTCCTAAAATGCATTACAATGAAAAGGAGTACTGTAAGATTTTAAGAAATAGGAAATAATGTCTCTAGCTGGGCATCAAAGTCTTTGCTTTTAAAATATTAGGACTTCATATCAAATCTACCCTTTCAAAAGGAACAAAAAAATTCATTAATATTTTTCCCATCAAAGTTATATATTCTTATAGAAAAATCTGGAAAAAGTAAAACAGGAAGTAGAAAGACTAAAACAGCACTCACAGTCCTACCACTGATCAGCACCATTAAAACTTTACTGCTCTTTTGGCAAAAAATTATAAACAACTCCTTTGTAATTTTTTACAAAGATGTGATCATTCTGTGCATAACTTAAATCATAGCCTGCTTTTTTCCAGTTGACATACCATTTCCCTTTGTTTTAGTATTTCCTTCAGTTATGAAATACTGAAATACTGTACAGTACAGGGGAAAAAATACAGTAAGAACATCCTAACCAATGAAATGAGGGGGGAACTTTAAAAACTCCACTATTCCATCCTCTGTGATTACCTCTATTAACCCTTTGGTACACAAACTCCCAAATTATTCTCTATGTGTATGGCCAGACACAGCGGTTTTGATAAAAGGGGATAGCCCCTCCCCACCACACACACAAAGGGGAGAGGTGTGTAAGAATTTCTTTCCACAAAACAAGTTAATACAAGTTGTGTCTAGAAAATATGGAAAATGCAGAAAAGCACAATAGAGAAAACAAAACCACCTGTAATCTCATCTAGGATGTCCCGTCTTCAGGTCTGAAAACCTATACACTGCCTTAAAACCTATGCTTCTTTACAAAGCTGAGGTATTAGATATGAAGTCTGATAACAACTTTCCCTCTATTTTATATGGGGGACATTTTTCCAGGCACTTAAGTTCTTCCAAATCAATATTTAAATGTGTCCATAACTAAAATGGTAACTTTAAAAATAGCAAAAATACTAAGTCAGACCCTCTGTGGCAGTCTTATTCAGCATATGTTCACACATGCATATAACTAGGCTAGACCTAAATTAAATAGGTCAACTAATCAAAGTATTTATAATATGGAAATTCATGTTTGAGAAATAATTACTAGTATGTGCTGCAAAAAAATACTGATGCTCTCCCAGCTGAGGAGAGCAGAAGCAACCAAAGTGTGAGGGTGTGGCTGGAAAAGAGGAAGGAAGTGTGGGTGGCCCTACACACATTTTGCAAGCTGCTGAAAACAGTTGTAGAACCAGCCTCTTTAAACCTACTGGCAATTTGAAATTCACCCTGTTACTCTTGTCAAAATTTACTTTTAGCTTTTTCACTGACATCACCACCACTGCAGTATGGTCTGTATGTTAAACAAAATTTTCCTACTCCTCTTCCTGGGAGTGGTGAGGGCAAAAGAGCACAGTGAAGACGGGTGGCTCAGCCTGGATGACACTATAAGACAACCCATGGCCTGACAAAGCAGCGGAGCTGGGTAAACAGGGCCATGTGCAAGCTTCGCTATTTCTGCAATCTCTCTATATTGGTCAGGATATTATGAATTGCTCCGAAAATCAGACAACCAATACTTAAATACAAAACCCCAAACAAGTTAAATGCTTAAAAAAAAAAAAAAACAAACACCATGCTAACGCTCTCCCCTAACACAGACAACTAAAATGATGAGTTTTTGTAAAGCCGCACTAGAAGTATATTTAAGATTCTTACATATGGTAATTATTTGTATCTTTCATAAATACCAAAAAAATGAAAACCATAATTCTTACTCATGGCAAGTATTACAATACACATTTATAGACAACTTCAGTAGAGGGATTACCACTCTCTCAGTATTACCATCCTACTCTGACTGCTAAAATTTCAGATACCTATACCAAAAATGGTAGAGGCTGAAAGGAAGTCAGTAGATTAAATCCTCCAGAAATATCAATAACCTCCAGGTGAAGCAAAGTAAACAGCTTTACCACGCAGTCATGGCTGTAGTTTTCTTTATCCAAAGTAAACAGTAGTTCACATTTTTAGAATAGCACTCCTCCTCCTGGGAGTACCAATATAAACTATAAATAAAGATGAAGTCACAAACAGGTCAACGGGTCCTAACATAATGAAAAAAAAAATGTAATTTAACTGGCTTGGTTGATTAATACTACATGATTATCACGTAGTAATCCGCCTGCAGTCACTGGATGGAGTTAGAGGGGAGCCACACATTAAAGTTGTTTATTGTTAGAAATGTTCTAGTAGGCAAAACCATACCTCCAAATGTCTCAGAAAGTACTGTCCAACGGAAGGTAACTGCACACTGAACTATGTTCTGAAAGGTTTCTTCCAAGTACTCAGCTTTAATGGACGCAGGCCATGGAGGTGACCCGGAATAAGCAGCTAAAAAACCTGCTCCTGTCTCTCAAGGCAGTGACTGGGTTTTGTACAGATCAACTCCTTGAAGGGCTGAGTTAAGTAATCTTTATTTTGTCCAAGTAAAACAAGTTTTATTCCAGAATACATCAAGGAATTTGAATATATATAGGAGTCAGGCAATTCATTAGATGACACAGGTAATACTTGCTACTTATAGACAAAAAGAAAGGACTTAGCATCCAAGCCTCGGCCAGCCGTGCAAGTATGATGAAATTCCTAAACAGATTCTGCCACTGGTTAAAGTAAAAAAGCTAAAGGTATCACCATTTCTACCTGTAGGTAAGACACAAGCATCAACATAATTAAAAAGTTCACAAAACAGGGACATAGTAAGCAAAAGTTGGTGGGAAGAAATTACTTAATGATAAATGAAACTAATCCACAATAGTCCTAGCTGCCAAGAAAACAAAATATAAAGTAGGAAGTTATGAAGAATTTAAAAACAATCTAAATCTCTCTTCTAAAGCTTTTATTAACATTGTCAAAACTCATTTTAACTCCCTATCATCTTTTTGCCCCCACTGATAATGTGGTATGAAAAAAAATGCCAAAAAAAAAGTGCTAGAACAGAAAAAAAAAGACAAATCCATAAATAAAAATACAGCCATCTAAGATTTCACTGACTTTGACTTCAAATAAATCATTTGAGGTTTTTTTAAACTATTGAGACTGCAAATTATCTCGCTAAAAGGCAACTTAACAACACCTGTACCAAGAGCCTTAAAGAATTAATATCACTGATTTAATCATCTTATTAGTAGAAATATATCTTATAGAAATATTGATGTGGAAAATAATTAATAATATCAATATTTATATGAGCATACAAACCAGAACCTACAGGTCTGCTATAAGGAAATGGTTAAATTAACCACAGTGGGGAAATTCTCACAGTAAAATGTTATGTAAAAAAAAAAATCATATACCAAATTTTATGGCATATGATCCCATTTTTTTAAAAAGTGTGTACTTTTTTGTCTGTATATGTACTTTTAAAGTACATTTTAAAATGTTAAATTGGTAGGACTACAAAATATTTTATATCTATAGTTTTCTGTTCTTTTCTAATTTTTGGCAGTGAAATGTATGTTGCTTTTATGATCAATGAAAGGCATAAGTTACTAAAATTTTGACTTTCTGAACATGATTACTCAATTTAATTGAGACCTATGAAATAAGCCAATTTCCCTGAAAATATATTGTCTAAAGTCTGTTCATTTAATCTTAGTAAATAAGGCACATTCACTGAAATATTTTGCTTCTCTTGGGGGAGGTATGCAATTCTTTAGGCTGAGGAGGCACAAGAATGCTGAGTCTATTTTTACTAGAAAATATCTGAGCCTTAACTATAGGTTCCTCTTCTTTAATAACTTATGCATAACCTACATATACAGAGATAAATAAGGCAGCCCAGGTGAGATGTATTAATGAAAGGTAAAGAAAAGGCAGAATGATCAAGGGCAAGGCAGCCCACAGACCAAGCTTACCCTAAAAAGGGCAGCAGAGGTACACACACCTGCGAGAGGGGGAAAGAGGCAGCAGAGTGACTATGACTCACGGGCTTCATAAAAAACACCAATTCGGGTTAAGTTATGATTTGTGGTAGAAATGAAATTAAGTTTAGGAGAGTTAAGAAAGTTGATTCTGAAAAATATTTTTTCACTCACGGTAGCAGGTAGGATGATCTCTTCCCAAAACTAATGGAAAACTTGCCATAATAAGTAACTCACCACATATCTTTGAATTATGCTGAAGTTTAATTAAAAAGTTAAAAATGTGGCTCTTCCTGGTGGTGCCACGTTAGCAGGCAGCTCTGCAAGCTGGCTGCAGCTACCTAAGTGCCAGTTCCATCCCCGGCTCCCCACATGGCCCTGCAGGCCTCTCCTGACCTGCCCACTGCCCCCCTCAGCTGTGTAGTAGATCTGCCGGTTTGCTCCCCACTCTGTCTCTGGTGAAGCCTCTCACCATCCCTGCACCTCTGGCTTGTACCCCAGTTCTGTATGCATAAGTAAATCTTTTTAAAAAAAAAAGTTAAAAGTTAAAAATTCACAGAAAGAGTCCCATTACAGAACTACATGAATCTTTAAAAGAAGTAGAAAACTTTCTAGGCATTCACATGAACTCAACAGAGGAATAAGGTAATTAAAGAATTTAAACCAATTTAAAAGTTCACAATTCACATTAAAGCATAAAACACCAATTTTTGTTTTACTAAATTAGGTCACTTTCATTATCACCCATACAACAACTTTCCTAAAAATCAATTACTAACCTATAGGTTTACATAGAAATAAGTCAAAACCACATTTGACTTTTCTTTCATGGTCTTGCTTAAAGTCTTCACAATGTCCTTTACTGCCACAACTGCCCATTTTAGAACTCCAGTTTTGTTATAATGCAGGTATCAAAAAGAGTGAACAATCACTGGGGATCTTTGTACGGACTGGATTCTGTATTTGTTAGATCATTTACCCCTTGCAAGAGAAGTTATCATGGAAGTGTCATGCCCATTTTACAGATGAGAAAGCAGGGTAAAATATATTAAGTCTCTGTCCCCATCCTTCATCAAGGTAAGAGCTACCTGGTTTGGATTCTAGGTTCCACCTGGCTTTTGGGTCCTGCATTTTCCCCTCTGCAACAATGCAATGCCTCTCTATACCTCGTAGAATTCACAAGGAAATAATAGCAAAATAGAGGGCATAATGCTTTCATAATTAATATGTGAAAGGTAGAAGTTACTAAAATTTTGACTTTCTGAACATAATTACTCAATTTAATTTTCCACCGAGACATATGAAACAAACCATGAGATAGACCTAGGAAATAAACCTCTCCAGTCTAAAGGAATTGTATCCCTGTTCCCTCCAAGGAAGCAAAATATTTCAATGAATGTGTCTTATTTATTAAAATTACATAACTAAGTTTTAGACAATATGTTCTCGATTTCCATTCTGTTCTGGCATTTCTCGTGTTCCTCCAACTCTGATATGGCCACACAAATTACCTGCTCTACAACTAATTAAGTGGAGGAGGTTCCCTAGTACCATCAAAGACTCATAACATTATCAACAAATGATTCCATTAGAAATTTTTTGAAACTGCTTTTTTTTTAAGTTGCAAAAGGAAGTTACAGAAAAATAACCATTCAAAACACAGATTGAGGTAATTTTTGGTCATCTAAAAATAGAATAACACCTTGAAAAACACTTCACTTTTGAGAGTTTGCATATAATTTTGTGATGGCAAGATTCCTCCCCAGTTGACACAGAATGGACAACATCATGTAAACAATTCAGGCAAAATTTAGGCAGGTTCTGTTTTCTGTTTGACGCCTTTGTCCTATCCCAAACTGCAATTTTAATGCACTTTGCAAAATACATTCTCTCCATTCATTTCCAAAAAGCATTTTCCGTCACAAGAGGATTAGCAAATATTCATACATAAGATAGGAAAGCAAAGAGTAAAATATAGCCGTGAAACTGCAGATTGAACAGTCTCATTCCAAATTTCTTCAGTAGCACTCATACCAAAAGAGAATTCTTCAACCTGTAGAAAATGAGGTAAAAAAGAAAACTAAACTTTAAAATTCAGCCACTCTGCTTTTTGTCCACTGCTAAATAAAAAGGCTAAAATGAGTATTTTTTTAAATTATGGTATACAATATACTCCAGCTTCTATCTTAATCTAATAGTGACTAACAAATTATCCTAAATCTAAAATGAACCCTATCTAGATAAGTTATAGAGTAAAACTTACATTACCTTACATATAATCTAATACAGAAGAAACATGGATGAATATTAAACTTAGCTTGCAGAACAGCCACACGCTTCCCAATAACCATGCATTAGTGAAGAGATCACAGAATGGCCTGCGATGTTTGTGTACAGAGATGGGGGAGACTACTAAAGGAACTGGGGTAGCATTCTAAGTTTCTACATTTCAAATTGTTCTTATTGTTACTATCTCCATCACAGAGGCATATTTTAAATTATCAAAATTCATTTACTCAGCAAATACGAACAGCATCATGGTGCAGTGGAGAGAGTACCATAGGATCTGAAGTCCAACAAGTTACTCAACTTCTCCACCAAGCATTTATGGCTTTATCTAGAAAACAAAGATAATCACTACCTTGGACAGGTATTATGAAAGCTAAATGGGATAATATATATTAGCAAGATGTGAATGGGATCAAAATCACCCAGCAATTTTTCACCAACTCTTCAGAACCGGGTTTCCCTCCCTGCAAATTTCAGTATTTGAGAAACATTGTACAGTTCCTGATTTTATTTAGTATCAGTACCCTCACCCTTAACTGGCCCAATGAACTACCCCTAAAAGCCTCTATAGGCTGTAGTAAAGAAGCTCCCTGCCTGTCTCAAGTGGTTAGTAATTTCTTACAGGGACAGGCCTGCTGGAGTGTTCTTTCCTCTACACTCGTCTTGGAGAGTTCACAGGAGGCATCTCAGAGGAAGTTGTGTTTTTGTTTAAGCTAAGGGTAGGAGGAGGCTTTTTAGAAGAGCAACCTGAGAGAGCTTATTGCGACTGGACAGCAACACATGCAGAACACAGGTGAAAGGTGAGGAAAGTAGGCAAGGACAAGGGACTCAAAAGGCCTTGCATTTTCTGTTCCTCAGGAGTGACTGGCCTTTATTTGTGCTTCAAAGTCAAGCTTAAAAATCACCTTCCCACCCTTCCTCTTCCCCTCCCTCGCCCTTGCACACCAGCTCCTGTGTTCCAATACACAGCCCTTTTCTACTATCACTCTTATCATAGTGCGGTTATATAATAAACATCTATGTGATGAAGTAATTAATAATCTGTGTCCCTCACTAGATCAAGTGTTAAAGTCAGTCAGTATAAGGCCATGTACATTTTATCTAGCTATGTACCCCAGGTCCTGCCAAGTGAGCATGTACTCAAAACATATAGATACATTTTGTTACATGAACAAATGAAAGCTGGCACTAAGAAGCCAAAGAAGAAGAATCCTGAGCAGGGGAACAGCCATCAGAGATGACAGCGAACCATTCTGGCAGTCAAGTGAAGATCAAACCAGAAGAGCAAGACCAGAACTTGGGAGACAAGTAAGAAGACTACCGAAAAGGTTTCCAGGTAAATGACTATTTAGACTTAATGAGGACAGCCAGTAACTGGGCAGTGATGATGCAGACATAATGGAGGCGACACCTTTAGGAAGCAGCATGTAAGCATTCAATGCAGAGAGAAGAAATCTAGAGTGATCAGCAGAGAGTGGTATCATTCATTCAGATCAGGAACAGAGGACAGGTACAAACATATCTTGAGTATCTACTACATGCTAGTATAAAGGAAAAGTTTTGCCTTTAGTTCTGACGTTTTATGGTTGAAAAACAATTTAAACCCAGCCCAGCTAATCTAAACCAAATCTAGGTTTGGTTTCTGTAACAGCCGTCATCAAGACACTTGTGGGGTACACTGGCTGCACAAGGCATTATGCTGGTCTCAGGATGTAAAAATCAAAGAAGGGGTCTCTGCCTTAAAGAGCTGGCGATCATGTGGGTTTGAGACCAGTAATTGCATGACCAGTGAGAAACTGAGTCTATGATCTGACTCATGCTTCTGGAACACTGACTTCATAACCTAATATATTTCCAGGCCCATGTGTAGTTTAAAGATCATTTATTTAGACAGACAGAGAGACAGACCTAATCGTGTTGAGCCTGGAGACACTCCGGCACTTAAAAACATCATGATACGTGAACAGTTAATGCCCTCTGACTTCGAAGCAACTGCTGAGGTAAGCCATATGGCAGCAGTCGGGGGTAAGACACAACAAGTAAGGGGGGAAAGAAGACAGATTTGTCATGGAAGAGCCTACCTGAGCAGAGGCCAAGTGCTGGAGGTGCCAAAGCAGAATCTCAGGAGGTTCTGGAAGTGACAGTAAAGAAATAAATATTCAGATGAGGTAGAGCAAGAACACTCTTTAGACAAGTTTCCTCCCTTGCCACTGGCAAGAAATGATTTCTCATGGGATATAAGTCCTTAACCCAAACTAGTTGTCCAGAAAAACAGAGGAAATGACCCAGTGTGAACGATGCAGCTGCAGATCATCCAGAGCAGACAGCACATCCCAGTGCGCACTTGGAGGCCATCAAGTCTGACTTTACAGTAGCTCTTGCCATACTGAAACAAAATGCCAAAACACTTCCCACTCCACCCCTAAAGCACTGCCCTATTTCTTCCCCTTCCTTTTCACTTTTCTCTAAATGAACAAGTTCACTGTCTCTACAACCTCAGTCCACTTCACAAACCTGGCCTCAAGGTCTTCCTCTACCCCTTGGCCATATCTTCTCATTGTCCTTGAACCCTGAGTCTTCTCCCCACCCCGCTTCTCTGTCCGAGGAACTCTACCTATCATTTAAAAACAGTTCAACTATCACTGCTGTGGAAAGTATTCCTGTATCAGCTTCTGAGGGGGGTTTGCCTATGCCAGCCACAGCATCCACTGGACCCTATTGTTAGTGTTTATCTCCAAAGCTCCTAAATGTAGGTAGGTACCGGTTTTTATTCACTTTTCTACTGTTACTCCATAACCCAAGCCTCTAAAATAGACAAAGGCTCTAAAAATAAATGGTCATAGATTAATTTACCTTCAAAACTGCTAGAATCCATTCAACTTTTCCACCTAAGTTGCCCTAAGAAAGCACCTGCATATACATGCGCTTTTCAGAAGTACCTACATTTTGAATCATAGTTTCCTTATAAAAGCATCATGACTAAAACACTCTGAAATTTGGTTGTTAAGCAAATAGTTGTCACACCGTTAAATTAAGACTAAGAGATTCTCCTCTATGTTTTTAATTCCTAACACTTGTATCTTTTTCTTTCTGGGTAGTGTAATGAGCTCTTAGGCAGACAAGCTGTTACAAAGAAGAAATCATGCCTTATTTATACCATGCTTAGAACCCTGGCTGCTCAATATTTCCAAAAATAAATAGTTTTTTTTCTATTTACTTTCACTTTCTGTATGAAATGCCCATAGTAAAGTTTAGATGAATAGTATTTTCTGTGATCACTAAAAACATCATGAAAACCCTTCAATTTTACTAAGGACATTTAAGTCTTCATTTTATGATTACGGAATTATATTTAAGCCAATCTACACTTACGATCTATTAAAATAAAAATAAGAAAGTTAAGGTATTTCATCACAATCATGCAGAAAAATTTATTCACACTAAAAATTAATAGGAGAGTAATTCTTATGCACAAAAATAAAACAATGTATGTAAATTTATAAAACCAAAAAGTAGAGCTCAAAGTCCCCTGCGGGGAAAGTCTTAAAGATGGAACATTAAGAAAAGTTGGCACTGGGCACTTGATTTTCACACATGACCTTGGGAATGTCATGTAATTTCTCTCATTACTAGTTCTGTAAAATGGGACTGTCATCTGTTTGCCTAATAAGGACAGTTAGTGAAATAAAAGAATCAATATGTATTTAAAAAAAAAACTTGTCTAATTAGTATGTTTTAATCACCACTTGTACAGTACATTCCTCCTCAGGAATCCAATTCCAAGAGAAATATTTAAGCAGACGCTGAAGACAGATTTCCTTAAGGGAATGATTTTATAAATCTGGAAAGCAGTGTAACAAGATTATAAATTAACAAGTTGATTACATAAGGCTTGACAAACCTAGGCTTTAAAGTACACTGATAAACACTGATTTGGGACATAGCGCTCCAACCATGGACAAGGAACCCAAATTTAGACATCTGATGTTTGATGGGAATTTGATGGAAATTCAACAGGATGACCACTATTTGCAGTTCCATCACCTGCAATCCAGGCTTCACCTTAAAACCCGATAAATGTGAAATGCATGAAAGTCAGCTGTACCACTCACTAAGACCGAAAATGCAACTAAATACCAAAGGGGGTTGAGGGGAGGAACGTGACAGTTTGAAAGGTCCTTAGACAGCTACACACTTAGGAACCTGACTGTTAAATACCCAACATCAACACCAACACAGGACTTGCACCGAACTCCCTGTGAAGCTACTGGATTGCATCTAAATCTAACTGTTAGCAACAGCACAGTTCCAGGCACCCTCGGCCACCCCAAAGCCCGCCACCCCCCATAAAAAGGTTATCACTTCCCCGATTCCCGAGTCCAAGTAAAAGGAAGGGAGCTTAATATAAAATGGTCCGGCAAGAAATCAACAGGCGATGACTATGGGAAAGAACGGAGGTTTCCCAATCTGAAAATTCAGCTCTCCCTCGGGAATGGCACTGCTCCTGCTTTACCCCGTTGCCCTTTCTCTACAAACAATATCCTCATTCTATTGTAAGGTTGCAGTTTCACCAAGGAACCCCCTTGCTGCGGCCAGATTGTCAGATTCGTTGCAACAAGGAAAACCTATTCAGAGAAGAATGCACACCCCACGGG